TCAAAACCAAATGCTGGAAATACCAAAGAAAAATGATATAATTTATTCATGGGACATTGTCCTTTCTGTCAAGGAAGAATTCATGACCTCTAGAGTGAAGCTGAAAGTCCTGTTGCCTTTGCTTATCATTAACTGATCTCCATCCAGGTGCTGCCCTGTGGAGATGGGCCCTACAGGAACAAGCCTTGTTCTGAAGTAAAGGCAATCTGTGGCAATAGTGAGGAGGCAATAGTGGCACAACAAAAGGAACGGCAGCAATCGGTGGGTGGGTGAGCACACGGAGAAGCGCATACCCCAGTGCAAGCCACATGTGGGAACCTTTAATGAGCTTCAACAGAAGCAGCAGTGAATGACTGGCCAGCAGATTAGCAGCTTGACTGCTGCCGTGGGAGAGCTTATTTTGGACACCATGAGCAAGAGCAACATCAGGAGGCATGTCATGGAGCAGCAGGTTTACCGATTGTTTCTAGACATGTCACTGGATGAAAAGTAGTTTCTCCATTTCAAGTGGTTTGGTATTTATTGGAGGATAGGACTGGCAGAACAGAAGCTGTGCAGGTGGGTTAGCATCATCTACTCTAGTTTCACCCAAGATAAGGCTCTACTAGTGGTTAAGTCAGTGTAAGGGTTTTTCAGTATCTTTTCATAAATTTGATATTACAATTGTAAAATTTGGCCCTTCTGATGATGAAATAGGTGTGTGGTAAGACTTGTACTGCAATACCTAGAGGAAGCTGGTGATTCCTGCCTGTTTCCCTTTCGTATTATTGAGATCAAAGAAAAAAAGAGCAGGTCTTTGTATTAATAAAACTATACAAAAAGTTTCTTTAAAAATCACTGGCAAGATCTTTCTCTTTATGACAAACTGAAGAAACTGTGACATTTCAGCCCACTTCAAAAATAACTAGAAAGATAGTATGCTTTAGTCTGAAAATCGGAAACATCCGTTCCCTGTCCCAGTTCCTTTTCACTGAATTTAGAAGTCCAATGATGTTTCAGAGTTAGCCTGTCTCTTCAGTCGCTTCACAGACACAAAGAATTGTAATCACAAATCACATAATGCTGTGCTCAGCTTTCAACAAAAGAGGAACAATTCTAGTTGCATTTAAACAGTGTCTCCCAAGCATACATATCAGCTGTCCCTTGTTTTCAAAGACATCCCTCAGTTCTTTCTCAAATGTATGCATGTTTCTCCCAGATGTGATGACTCTGATGTTTTACTGTTGAACAGCATAAATTTAAGAACTATCAACTACATTTCTTTTTCCCCTGTGCAGTGCCAGGTCCCAGTCCTGTACAGGCTGGTGCACATTTTCAACTCCATGTCCACTGTGAGTAATTCCACACACTAGAACTGATAGTCTGGATAAAACTGAGCACATGCGTAAATCTTCATAGAAGAGTTTTTTGCTTGTTTGTTTGTTTTGGTTTTGTTTTTGTTTGTTTGGGGTTTTTTGGTGTTGTTGTTTTTGTTGGTGTTGTTGTTTTTTGTGTTTTTTTTTTTTCCCCCAGCAGCTCTGGTTTCCTTCATTAATTTTTCCTCACCCTTAGCAATAAGGCACTGTTATTGAGCAATAGGACAATAGGGTTGGTAGGAATGGACAATATTCACATTTTCTGAAATAATCTTTTTCTTATGTACCATCTCTTGGGTTGCAGGCCATGTCTCGGGCTGAAAGTTAAGATACCTAAATGATTCCATGATTCTACACTTTTATTCCTAGCTCCATGGACTTCAATTTCTTTTATTTTTAAAACAATTGCAACATTACCAACTCTTGCAATTTTATTGTAAATCTCACAAAATTTGATATCTTTTGGAAAGCCACAGTTCCTGGAACCTTGTGATTTTTGATGCAGCAACAAGCATGGATTTCTCTATGGCATGTGTGTATCAAAACAAAAGCCTATCAAAGGTTAGAAACGGACATTTTAAATTCACTTCCTGCACTGTTACTGCGACATGATTGGAACTGATAGAGATTAGAATAATGACCTGTTATGCCTCTGGGTGTTTTTATCTATATATGCAGGTTCCTGACCAGTTGAACCTTAAGATCTTAGTGCTGCTAAGCCCTTGTTCCTGCTCAGAACCCCACTTGGAATGCAAACAACCTTTTCCTGAAATTCAGGCAGTGCAGGTTCACACAGGCACAAGCTGTGATGGTGGCAGTGTGCCGGCCACACTGGGGAAGACCATATTTCATGCAGATTGCCTGCCATGGTAAGTCTGTGCCTGAATTTCAGCAAATTTTCATGGACTGTATATTTTGAAGGATCATCTCCAATTGCTATGAATACTCTGGGTTTGAATTAGTGACTGAAGATGGGGCAGTCACCAAAGATGGGAAAGGGAGTAGAGTACCCACAGAAGGAAATAGGGAGGACAGAGGACAGGTTGCAATAAAGGGCAGAGCACGTTAAGGAAGAGGGAACTAGCAGGACTTTTCTATCCTGAGAAATTCTGGTTTCCTTTTTGCCCTTTAGGGCTTTGATGTGACCGGTGTGGACATGCACAGTCTCTTTGAACTTAGAGACAGCACTATATCCTAAATGTATGCCCTCTAATAGCAATTGGTGGCTTGTGAAATCTGCCTCCCCACATCTCTCTTGTGGTTTGTAGCTGCCATGGCATGGTAGGGCAGCTGCCTGTCTTCCCATTCGGGAAGCACAGGAATAAGCGTGGTGGCTTCTGAACTCTTCCATGGGGAACAAATATTAGACAGGTCCCGAGAAAAACCTTCTTGCAGACCTGATGTATGTTTGCTTCTAGGGTCTCATCTGCTATGTGTCAATACACTAACGTCCCAAGTTTCTGACTCCATGGGCATCCTGATGTGACAATGGGCTGCCAGACTCCTAGCAAAAACTTTGAAGGGCTGAGGGAAGAAGGAGCTCCAGGACCTCATCATAGTGGGAACCTATGGGAACCTATGCACCCCCATAGTGGGGCTGTGGAGTCCCATGGTCATCCAGGAACACTCAGCTCAGCTGCTGATGGGTTTGGCTTTGCTGGCAGTCTCCGTACCAGCTAGATCTGGGAACACTGTAGCCCCAGTAAAGGATCCACACAGATGTGAAGTGTTAGAAGATGTGTCTCACCCAAGCCAGGCTGCCCTACGGTGAGGCATCACTCTGTAACTTTTTCATCTCCACAGTGAAATGCAGGACCCACATCTTTCCAGAAGCATCCTAGCACTGTTGCTCTGCAGAAGACCCAGGCACAGTGTGATGACCTGCCCTTCAGTGCAAAGAAACAACAGAAGTCAGAGGGTCTGCAAACAATGAGGTTGATTTGTAGATGAATTAATTTGCTTCAACAATTCAATCTTTTTGAGAGACCAAGATGGGTTAAATAACACCTGTTGGTGTCCTACCTTTTGTGTCACCTATGGGCCCATTTCCCAAATTTCTGGTGTCACTGTCCAAAGGATGCTCGATGTTTACTTAGCTGTTGTTGGTCGTGTCAGGGCAAGTGTAATTTCGCCATTTTTTGGAACTACTATATTAAGTTTGAATGTTAGGACAACCCGGGTTCCATTTTGCCAGAAACACACTACGGCAACCGGTTCAACCAGGGTAAAGGTGGACGGGACGACAAGGGGCGGTGGAGGCGGGGGGCCCAACCACGGGCCCTGAGGGACGGCGGGCACGGCAGGACAGGTCCCTAACGTGCCTCAACCTTCCTTCGGGTCTCACTTGGCTCTTGTGTGGGAGACGCACCCCCAGGTCCCCCATGACAGGCCGTCGGAGCTGG